AAAGAAAGAAAGAAAGAAAGAAAGAAAGAAAGAAAGAAAGAAAGAAAGAAAGAAAGGGACAATGAATAAAGGGAGACAATAGGCAATCTCACATTCTATATGATACACTCTAACTTCTTTTAAGAAAATAATCCTGTCTAGGAACATTAATTTTTCTTAATGTTATAGAAAGTGCCAAGATTTATGAGTTCAGCAAGTTTCTAAACTTTCCAGATAAGAAGAACTTTGATCCTATTACAGTGTATTTACTTTCTGCAAAAATGTATAGAAGGAAGAAAAAGACATTTTGTAGTATTCAGGTACAAAGACAGATGCATAACTGCAATCCATGATATTGTTCTGATTCAATCATAAGAGTTTTCAAAGCAGAAGTAACTTAACATCTTTACCATAACATAATTCTAAGGAGACTGTTTTTTTTTTAAATGTTTGGAATGGGTTAACAAGTAATGTGATGCTTAAATGCTTTATTTCTCTTTGGTTAAATTAATCATCCCAAGTCTGTTTTTGCACAATTAGCATAGAAGAACTAAATACATGAGTGAACAGTGAATAATTAGGCCGGTAATACTCAGAATTTCTACAGAAGGTGAAAAACTACACATAATTATTCATATCTATTATAATTATCCACATTACTTCATAAGGAACCTTCTCCAACTAACCTTACTTTATTCCTGTACCTGTAGTTATTTCTTTTTTTCTCTCAGCCATTTTTTAATTTATAGTTTGTGTTTAATGCAAATCAATTTCATAACATGAGAATGTGAAAGGTTACTATGAATCAAAGCATAAATACAGAAACATGATATACAATTCAAAATAGATGTACAGCATTGGGGTATGAAGCTAAAGGGAGTGTTCATTCACACACATGGAAGCTTCCAGTCTATTAGATGTGGTTGTTCCCACTCAGACTTCTAACGATAGGGAAAAATGACTTTGGTTATCAAGACTACTGTGGCCATATTAGATACTGGAACATCTAAGCATCAGTGTGTGACCATGAGAACAAACGAATTCTTAGAAAGGTTTCTGTGTATCAAGGCAGTTGTAAGAGAGTTACTGCAGAATCAAGCCCACTTTTAGGCATGGGACCAGATTTTTTTTTTTTTTTTCCTTTTTGTCTTTTTTCGTGTCCGGCATTGGATCGCAACCCTCAGTGTCGCGCCCGTACCGGACCGGGACCGGCAACGGGA